ATGCTGTTATAGACTGGGGATCGCTTTCTGCCAACTTTACATCCGCGCCTATTTGATGATTTGAAACAAGTTAATGACAACAGATGATGTAGGCAATAGTGAGATGAATGTCTGATCCAATACGTTAGGTTCCAGTCCATCAACAGTATGGCATGTTCAGATTCTTTCAGCCTCCACTTTGAGAAACTGTTTACTCTTGTATACTTTCTCTTCTTCCGTGTTTCTCTCATCTATTCCCACCTGAATTACTTAACATTGGCTTTGTGACATCGTAAAGAATATTGAAAGCTGTTGGGAGGGTGTATGGATTTCCACTACATAAACGCTCTAATATTCTTTTGCGCATTCACTTGAACTCACACAAGAAATTGTTGAATATCCTCTGATGGTATTCAGAGCACCTACTTTATCCACAACTCTCTAATTACATCTCATCAAGTGGGACTGCTAACATCTGTAATAGAATCCATCTTCACACGACACAATATATGAACTTGACGAAGTCTCATTCGACTGTCATTTCATGTGACGAAATACGTATTAGACATGAACCTGATAAGTGTCTGCGAATACTTACAACCAATTTACGCTACCTTATATCCGTTCTATCATTCATATATTATTGTGAATAAATGTGGTGATTTTCAATTTTGTTTCACATTCCTGATAATAATTATTATACTTACCTTTTATATGTTACGTAACGACAAAATAGAATGGAATATTTTAGTCCATTCTGTGAATTGCATGTTGTTTGGAATAAGTCGATTTCTATGATATTATTATTGTCAGCTAGAAATGACAATAGAGTTAGTTATTAGAAGGAGATGTGTTTTTGAATCGTGATGTTCCACCTTGAAACATTAATCAATAATAATATTTATTTTTCATTTTTGAAACAGCTATTTGTGAAGCAAAATATATGCCATATATGGACATATACTGTGTTTGCATCTATTAATACAAGTTAATTTCTAAGAGTGATGAAATGATGATGAAATTATACAAGAGTGGTTAATCAGGCTCAAACCTGCTAGCTATATATATTCATTAAAGAAGATTGTAAAGAAGCATAATTGTTTACGGAATGAAGAAATATTTGTGTTATTTGAGGTCAACATCACAAGATATGTGTCTAATGAATATTTATCAATCTTTCTAATAATTTTAATTTAGAAATAACAATATAACAATAATGAAAGTATTAACTTTATTCCAAACAGTGATTTCAGTACAAATATATATTCAGTTTTCAACATGATCAGCTCAGAGAACCAAAAGAAACGATAAGAATTCATATACTGTGTAGAATTGGAAAGATCAGTGAAAATTAGAGCTGAATTGATTGGGTCACATTCCTCCCCTCTCATACTATCCACATAAGTAGTTTCACATGCGACAATAAAATTTGACCAAAATTGAAGTGCCTTGTGTACTGTCCACATGCATTATGCACAAAACATCTGACCATTCGTCGTAAAAATCGCATTCACCTCAGACAGATTACATCACTGTAAACATCATACCAGTCAGACTGTTCACCACACAAAAGACGAAGGGGATTTGTGTTCACTTCACTAAAGAGTTTCAGCACTGTGAAAGTGAAGTCAATCGAAAATGAGTCAGTAACCGGAATATTTCACAAAGTTGAAGGCATTTATCAACACCTGACCAATTTGATCCTTGTATGTTTGCGGTGTCAATTCAACTTGACAGTTAGACCGTAGACTTTGAAATCCGTGTAGATGTCATGTTCAGTGATGGTCATGTAAGAACTGCATTCAAGGCATTTCATGTGGAAAAAGTTTCAGTATGCCTCCTGAACCGCATGGTACCTTTGATATATCTGACATCATATGGCTTACTTCGCATACTCTTGCCATTTCACTTGTTGTGCACAGTTCACTTTGGCTTCTTGATACTTGCTTCCTCTTAGATTGACCAATGCTTTGTAGGCCAAAATCCTCATGAAATCCGTCCTCACAAATGAATAACGAATAGAGGTCAGTCGAATTGCTCCGTATTCACTTCCTATCTGTACACACTCTCCTATTTCCTCAGTGACGACATCATGTTGCAAGACCATACAACTGATTTCGATTTACTCGAATGTAAGGCGGTCTAATTTTGAGTGATGAGAGGGCTTCCTGTTCCAATTCAGTCGGCCAGTCAGAAGTGGTTTTTATGTATTGAATGTCCTTTCACAATCTACACCTACATCATGGAGTAAATGTTTGAAATTCAGTAAAGAAGAAAATTGCTTTCATAAGCTGTTAATTGTCCGCATGACAAGTGTGGTGAAGACGAGGAAAAAGACTGAATGGCGAAATATGTGAAAGTGAGATTGAATGGAAATAACAGTTGAGTGGTCGACATAACTTTTCAAACTGGTTGGTGTTCTCGCTATCGCATGCCTGATTACATTCTCAGTGTTTCACTTCATCATAAGAAGTACCCGTAGATCATTCTTAGTGTTGTACCTTCCTCACTGATACGCTTGCCTATACCTTCATTTCTCTCACCAACATATCTGAATATTGAAAGACACCATGATTAATACATCGTGTTAGGTGGAAATATGAGGGAGTTTCACAAGGGCTGCCACACACTCAGCGAGTGTACTTAGAATAACTTTACAAAGCGATATCATTACTTAAAAAACTGACGTCTACAACTACCGATTGCGTCAGTGTAACTGGTTATTCTCAGTGATAGAAAAATGAGGATGCACATCAAGTTTATGTGGTGTAGCGAACACATTCGAAATCCAATTTTACTGAAAGATTAGTATTCAGGATATGAATTCGATTCACGTTTGGATGCTAACACTTGAATCCTGTGAATGTTCACGGATATTTCGTGATTGAAAAGATAATTGCACGTCACATGTATATCATCTGGTCATCGTCATCACGGCGCTTCCAATGTTTGCAATTCTTCGAATCAGAGATAACCCGTAGTGAATTTCCAGTTGAATTTGCATCCACATGGTTGGTGATAACATGTTAGATGTATGAAATCACTGATTCCGAACCGTTCTGTGGAATCGATTTCAAAGACTCATTGTGGAACCAGGTGAATTGACCAGCATGATTCGGCTTAATTAAATGGCCATAATATCGTTGTCTCAAGACAACTCTGTATGTCAAGGTGACTAACAGACATAAACAGATGAAGATGTCGGTGTACATGAGTAAACAATTCTTCATGTTTTCCTGTTGTTCACCTAAAATAACATTCACCACACAACTGATGTCAACGGAGTTACAGTATCGCATGCACAGACGAACATACTGCACGGTTCATCGTCTTCTGTTTCAGGCTTTCCCGCTGGATATCCGTTTGTGGATAATCACACAAATGTTGAAATGATATGTGATACATTTCACACGGTGTCAAACTGGTCGAGAGCTTCATCAGTGAATTAGTCGAATACCGTTGTAATGTAATGTTCACACGGAGGCAGAAGAAAACCCATTGTCAGAAATGCGTAATATTTCCAATGGCGGAAATATCTGGTGTCAACGTCATTAAGATTCTTAAATAATAATCATTCAACGCTCGGCTGAATTCGAGAAGCAACATGATTATATCTCATACACACGATAGTCAAACGCCTCTTCGTACGTGAAGTTTATACTACTTCTTCAAACACCCATTGAGAACTGCACATCTACGCCTTAGAACTAACTGTTTCCTTCAAACTCAATTTCCACGTTTTCCCAACCTGCTATTCTCGATCTCACTCAAACATAGTGTAATTTCACAACTTCATGTTCATCGACCTTGACGTTTCAATTCGATAGTAGTCGATTTCTCAGTCCCTAGTATTCTCTGGTGTCTATTGGATTTGTGAGGAATATATAAAGCTACAGTATAACGGAGTAATTGTTTGGAAAATCTCTCGTGGAATATCTAGTTACGATAATTTTACGTATTTTGATGTCCAACTAACTTTGCAGTTGTCATGCGTTCTTCTCCCAGACTGGTTATCGTCGTTCTGACATTTACATATCATATGTTCACTTCATGTTCATTATTTGTCTTTGTCCCTGTTAGATCTCTAAGTTCAATGCTTCTCTCTGTGACTGTACGATCTAATGATGTTGTGTAGTTTCAGTATTTGATCTATTTCGAGTGAATCAAGGAAGCTGTGAACTATTTTCTGATTTCGTTAGTGTGTGATTCTTGTGAACAGAATTTTGGTCCTTTCTTGTTGTGAATATTCTACTTGATTCTGAAATTCTATCTAAGTTTGTAATTCGGTTAACTAATTCGCCCTGTGGTAGTTGTTTTGTACTTCAAGTATCCCTTGTCTATATAGCTTGAAACTGCCAGACCATAGGATGCAGCGATTGCTTCCCTGTGTTCACAACGCAACGATTCGGATGTGTTCGGTACATACAGGTTCATGTAAGCGCATTCGACACACACTTCAGCATATCTAGATAACATTCTGTGTAGGCTTATTTAATGGTGTCTAATTGGTATCAGTGATGAAGAGAATATCTGTTATAACTCTGTTAGTTACTGGAATCAGCACCTAATATCAGGCCACTTATTCGATTTCAAATGGTGTCGAAACGTGTTTCACGTGCTTTTGGTCCATTTTGTGCATGTTATGCGTGATCACTTCCTCCAAATAAATTACTTCAACTGTATTCGAAGTGAAGTCGGTGACGCGCGGATGTCCTCAGGCGTTTCTTTGTCAATGCAACAGCTGATCCGATCGCGCCCACCACAGGGTTCATGTGCGTGAATAATACAACGCACAATTTGTTCCATTATAACTCTCTCTCTCTCCTCTCAGGAGTATCCGAAGCACATTTTACCGAATGGAATCAGTCTCCTAACAGCCACCTGATCACCGATCTGACATTACTCCATCTCTGAAGACGACAGTCGACTGCGAAAGTACTCAAACTTGAATTCAAATGATAGGCACACTCCACCACAGTCGGCACTTCACTGAAGCTTGAATTCATAACGACAGAGCGGTGTAGTAGATAAATGATTTATTAAATTTAATTAAAGAAAAGAAATGTTTACGAAAGCTTCTACAATCTACGTGTATTCAGTAGTACGTCAACGTTGACGTTTGTCTGGATACGTCTCTTCAGTATGCTGTATGAGAATAAATTCAAATCATCAGTATAATTGGAAAAATATCAGTGGTAAAACAACAAAGCAACATGTATACTGGAGAGAAGAATGATTAGTGGCGAATTGTATGCTTATTCATGGAGTCCACGAATTCTGAATATTTTCAGTGACTGATAATTTCAATCTTCATTATTTCTCTGGGTATATGAGATGCTACATTCCTATCATTCACTATTGGTCGTGTGAATTTCACTGGTTTGCATAACCTCGGTGACACCATTGGAATGTGCATGTGTATTCTCATACATTCATGACACCATCTATTTAGAACTGTTATGGTATTATTCATTGGTGGATATACACACGGTAACTCACAACACCACTCATGATGCTTTCACCAGTCAATTAAACAGGCGTACTTGAGGCTGTGATTTCAACCACACATTCATGAGTTAACATTTGAGCTGAGTGGTGGCACTCTAGTCGACAGTGGAAAATGTTATCTAAGTGAGGCAGCGAATACTCGAATCCTGTGTTGTAGTTTCCTCGCTCGTCATCCTGCACACTCTCACACTTCGTGCACTTGAAACTCGATTTGCCATCCCATTAACATACCGTTGGATGATAAGATGTGGAAATATAATGCGAAATAAATCTCACCTCCCAACACCTTCAATTGGGTTTTGTACAGTTTCTCCAAAACTAGAAACGATAAAACATTTTGTGAAATATTTGAGTTTTCCAGTGAAGGTGATTTTTGTTTATCACTGCGTTTGTCTAATGACTAACATTAGAGAGGCACCGACTATTCTCTCAATCACACCACTGCCTTCACAGTGTTTCTCATGCACAATTTCGATAGTGAAGTTTAATAATGCAGAGCAAATGAACTCACAAATGTAAATCCCATAATAGTGTTTGTGGTAGTATAGGGATCCGATTTCTGAATTCAGTTGATCCAGATCTGAAATAATTCATAAACGAATACCTAGCAGAATGATTTTCACAGAATAACACAGTGACATACGAACTCGAAACAACGCGACATTAAATGATGCAAAACAACGCGTTTCTCTCACACATTCAAGCAACTGACTACTCGACAAACTCATCCACTTGCATGATGTCATCGCACGTTGCGAAAACTGCTATCATCAAAGCATAATGTCAGTACTCATTCATTTTCACAGTTAACAAATTGTTTTCCAGTGAGTGTTTCTAATCACAATCACACCATCTACACGATTTCATTTTCAGACGAATGACAACATTCTTAACACTAGACTTGTTCATCCGCCTTCGGACATCACTTTAAAGTCTTTGAAAATGCTCATTATCGGATATCGTATTACAAGTGGACGTTCATGAACTCAAATCGTGATGAAGGTATCGTGACGGATGTAAATATACCTTCATCGTAAATATATGTGAAAATGTTATTCATTTCAACTTGAATGTAAATGAGGAGCAAATGAATACCTTGGGAATTTGCTGAAGGTAGGTTTTCGAGACATTTTTTCACAGGGAACTCCTCCATCTTTTCTATTTATGGATGAGCAAGAGTAACAAAACAGTCTGATTATCAAGATAAATTTACATCACATATGTGGAGACTGGAATCTCGAAAATCCCTTCTCCACACTGACAAAACAAGTCAGATGGATTGGTGTATAACAATGCTACTTACTAAGATATGCTGAGGATTTTTCCTTGCAACAATTCACTACGTCGCTTAGATCCGCCTCAGAGTCTGTAAATAAATGAGTTTCACACACATTAATCCATGTCTATCGTTTACAGTGTAATAATTATGCACATTTATGCATGTTAAACACAAACACAATCACAATTCAAACGAAAAAAATATGTTCACTAATTTACGGGTTGCAAATGAGTATCCGAAGTGAAAAATACTCATTTGAACATCTACCATCAATCACTTCCTCGTGCTCGGTGCAGGAGGAAATTCTCTCGCTTTATTTGACGTTAGCCAATTAAAGGCATGAATGAAATACTAGTTGAGATGTTAACGCGAGAATATACGCCAGGTCAATTTTGTTGGTCAGAATATTGATGCGAAATAATAATGATGGTAAGTAAGTAAATAGGTACAGAAATGATTTAAAATATTTACTTACTACGGTGGAGATTTTCTGCAAGATCTTGATAAATAAACAGAGGTTAGTATATTCAGCAGATCTGGTCAATTTTTATATAAGAAACTTTCAAACATTTATCACTCTGCAGTCAGATAGGCGTTAATTAATGAAATGACATTGAGAAAGCATTATACCAAAAATATGAGTGTATTAGGATGCTGACTTCTGATTTATTAAATGAAATCACAATGTAGTGGATGAATTTGGCGAATGAAATTTTATTTTTATTGAAAAAAACTACGAGAACGCACGGCTGAATACTTTCGTTCCCCATTTGTATTCGTATGCGGTTTCCAAGCATTCCGAATCTAAAATAGATCGTTCGTAATTTCAATACATTTGGTTTGCTTACGATTTTTTATTACACCCCATGAAGCTGGATCCCGAATAAAAATCCTTTCTAGGAAAACAGAAAAGTGGAAGAAAGCGTTGGATGTTTACAACTTGTGGATACGTTTATTTCGAGTGTATCATTATCTGTTACATGCTAGACAACATGATGTATTGATGTCGTCATAGTAATCACTTTGACAGTATAATTCAGGGCATATTTTCGTCAACACGAAAATATTATCGACGATACAGCTTTAAGTTTTATTTACCTTTAATAGTTCTTACTTGCCCTTCGGCTCTTTTCATATGCGACATTATTCCTAATGTTTCATCTATGGGGAAACGAGAACACCTTGTATGAACTGTCATGTAGTAAGTAAGATTACTGAATAAAAGTGAATAACACACATTAAAATAGTTTCATTGAAGACGTCTGAAGGCATATCAGTTAAGGCAGTCAGCATACTTCAGTTATCAATTTGAGGTACTGTTTCCATGTCAGTCATTCTTCACTCCTTATTTTATATATATCAATTCTCGAGTCATCAAGGAAGTTCATCGCAGCAAAAATCATTGTAAGTCTTTCGTCAATCTTAAGCTTTTGTCGTGATAAACTGCCAAGCCGACTGATAAACTCAAACATTATGCATTTGAAACGTACTTACTTTTAACAAGGGCAAGGCGTTCTTTAATTATTCCTACAGCCCACGATTCACCTTGAACTTCAATGAAAAATTTTAAAGGAAAGTATTATTTAGAGAAAACGTTTCACAATACTGAAGATTATTGGAACAGTTACGCAACTTGATATACATCAAACTCCTCTTGATCGCCTAATGTATATCACTGCATTGCAGAAGTGCACAATCTTAAAATGTGTATTCAAGCAGTTTAAATCTTAGGAAATTTTAGACTAACACAATTTCCAAATTAGAAAACTTTTTACTGTACAACTGTTATTCCACACTATTTCTGAATAAGAACTTAGTTGAAAGGTGCCTTTGCTGTTACACTGCTGGTCACCATCTATCAAGCAAGATACATTTGGGGTGACAGCACATATCAAAATGACCATTGTACAGTAACAGCTTAGCCAGTGAGAATGACCCATGGAAGTAACCGGCGAAATATTCAACAGTCCCTGTGAATAAGGCAAACATTTCATAGAGAATAGATCACAAATATACCATCTTTTGAAGAAATGCTTACCTTCATTTATGGCTGCAAATGCCAACAGAGTGATGACAGTTATGTGGCTGTATGCAAAGTAGATCATCTTATTATGGTAAATGACTTTTCTCTCCCTTATATATCTATCGCAACAAGTAGTCACAGTTAATAATGTAACCTGATGATTGGTTGATTATAATAATCATAATTTTATCGTTCATTTGCGGAATAATGTACGTGTTGTGATTGGTGAGTGAAATAACGTCTCATGATGTCGGGTGACTCGATAATGAATCGGTGGAATCTGATAGATGTTATGAAATCTATCAACATGCAGAAACACTTTAATACAAATAGTAAGAATAATTCACCTGACGGCGTTGACATGAAGAAAGCATACTCGCGATACGTTGTGGACGATCAGAATTGCAGAGCCATCCAGCTCTACGAAGGTTTTAATTAGCCATGCTAGTCTGCAACTTAATCTGAATATTTTATTCGTTGCAAGTCAGCACTCAACACACTTTGACATATTCTGCGCAGGAATCATTTATGTTAATGGCTATCAATAAATCCTTCAATAGTATTCATAGTGAAATCTCATGAATATCAGAATGCAACAATCAGTGCAGGCAAGTTGGAATGCGAACAGAGACTGTATTGGGGCAACTAGAAGTACAAACCAGACTGTCATTTAATTGCAGCTGAAATCTAGTCACTAAGTAATATGAAATACAGTGAGAATAAACAAGTAAGTCACCCAACTGAGCGCTCATAACCCACAGATGCATACATTTCAAGGGTTAGTAATATTTAGTGATGTGCAGGAAACGTGAATACCACAAAAATATAGCAAACAAATGGAGTGTAGCGAATGTGAGTCCTAATCACGGAAGTAATGATGAAATATAGGGATTATATCGTGACAAGTAATCAAATAATAGCACACAAAACGGGACAAATAGCTATAATAATAATCAGCAGAGGATGGGGAATGGTGTGAAGTTTAATAGGTGACAAAGGGTAGGGAGGAGGTGAATATATAATGACCGTATAGTATTCACTGGAGATCACCGTGGATTAATGCGGTGATTTTGAAATCATTCTCATTTTTCAGTCCCTCTGTGTATATGCTTCTCTACAAAATTTGTAGAAATTCCATTTTCTTACTCGATAGTTTTCAGATTCCAGAAGAAAATGGGAAGATCCCATCACAGCATTACCTACTCATCTACAAACCTCATTGTAAGCAATAAATTAAATCTTCACCAAACATTTCAGTGTGAGTAACATTGAAATACAGTGACATCATAAAATAAGTTAAAAGTTGTATTTGTTAAATTGATATATAAAATGCTTTCAACAGAAGTGCACACATCAATCATGACATGTTTGACTGCCTGTCAACACAGAGGATCCAGGAAACACAATGGCCATCAAACGCATTAATTTTAATATTATTATTGTTTATTTTGATTCGGAGTGGAACACAGGGCTTCAATAACACATTTGAGAAACGTTTGCAAAATGTTGGAAAAGCTTTTCGCGGCACACAGCGCATAACTCAACCTCTTCGCTTACAATTTGTTAATTCATGAATTCTGCCGATTGTCCTTCATTTTCGACACTATTCTTCCCCGGACTTCTCAAAACAGGGTTTTTCATACTAACTAGAACACTGGAGACTGCAAGTAGGGTAAGTGGTGGGCCTTTGACTCAGCTAGTTCACATTACTGTCAATAGACGCTTCGATTCTTGCCAGCGATTGGTTAAAGTTATCTTGTCTGAAACCACCGAACATACTCTTTATTCTTAACTTTCTCCTTATATCTATTCGGGTAAAACCAGAACAAACTTCATGAGAATTTACGCTCGTGCATATGAATATAGAAATTCTACGATACCTTATTTACTACGGGTTTTGTGTGAAGAGAGACTCAAATGTCAGAAAAGAAGTTATCAACTTTGTAAATCAGTAACTGAACAGTGAAGTATAAGCAAAGATTATTATTACGTGTATTATCAGACAACTCATCCACCAGTTTCGTCAAGTGAATTACAAAAATTATGTTACGTGAATTTGTCGTTTCCATTCAATCATATCACTGATATTCTGAGTGAATACAGTGAGTAGAAACAGTGAAAGCGTGTGTATTTTTAGAAAGAATCCGACCTACACATCAGTGATCATAATCAATGATCACCCGGTCACATATGAAAATAACGCATGAAAAGTGTTTGATATCGTACGATAGAACCATTTATTTACACAGGGCGGAATTGCTTTTGTGGTTTCAGGTCAACTTCATGCGTTGTTTGATTGATGAAAATGTCTCAATGTTACTAATTGCTCAATTTTAGAAGCATTTTCACGAAATGAGAGATTTATAGTCAGTGAATTGTGTCGGATGTCAAAGAGCAGTTGAGAGGGTGGGTGAAGCAGTCTGATGAATGTCTTTCACTGTCCCGCTGATTCAGTTTACATACTGTGAATGAGGTGACTAACTGAAATCACGATTCAACTGAATCGTTTGTGTCTCACACTTGGTCTTCCGAATTCCACGCCAGTCCTTCCAGAGGCGTTATTCACCATTCGTTGGCAGCGTGACATGATAACCAGCCTTCCTTCCAATCGATAGGCACCTCTCCTTCTTTACACACTTTTTGCGATCATGGCGTGCGCACATCTAGCGCAGTCTCTGGGTCTGTTTTCACTGCTTTGGGGGCAATCTGTTTGGCCGTGGCGCCTTCTCGACCCGTGACTTCAGTGGCTCGATCACATTCAAGATTTCTGCTTTCGTTTGATGACTGTTGTCCACTGGCCGTCAGTTCTGTGCGTGCAGTTTGTGGTGAGAGTATTTCTGGGGAGGGGAGTTGCAGGTGACGGTCGACTCAAGAATCCTTCAAAGTGATCAGCCCATTGTTTCACTTGTTCGTCCTCTCTGGTAAATAGCTTCTCTCGAATATCTTTCATTGATTTCATCACTTGAGTTGATATTCTCCTCGATAGAGACCTGCTCATCTGATATTATGTTCCCAGGTCTGTTTTACCTGCGGCCTGCCTGTTTTGCTTCAGTCGCCAGCCAGTGTGTCGTGGAATTGTCCTTTGTCTTTCCTAGTCCTCTCCTTTACTGTTCTCTTCAGTGCAGTGTACACTGAAGTCAGATTCTTCTTCTTTTTTCCATCTTTCTACTGAGTAGCCATCTTCTCTTTCAGCATCCTCCTCTCCCCACTTGCATTATCTCTCGAGAATATGTGCATTGACAGTCAGTCACTCTTCGTCATGTCTCTTCTTTCTTCCTAGTGCAGTTTGAACGTTTCCTTGAACGTCACTTGCAGACAGTTATAGTGTTCTTCCACACAGGTTTCCTCAGTGATACCACTTAGTTTCTCCGACTTACTAATCAGACAGTTGTGATTCCATTTGTGTGTCAGATATTTATTATTTAGAAAATCCTCCGTGAACTGTCTAGTTTCGATAACGACAAAATAGAATAGAACAGGTTATGGATTGAATGTTGTTTGGAAGCAGTCGGCTTCATTATTATTATTATTCCTAGTAGTAGTAGTATTAGTAGTAACATTGTCAGTTAGAAGGAACTCTATGCATAAGTATGCAATGGAGATGTGCTCTTCAGTCATGATGTCTCACCTGTAACACTAATGAATAATAAGAATCACAATTCGTTTACTTTTGAAATTATTACTGTCACTGAGATTGCTGCGCCGTGTATTAATCAAAAGCTTGTGTTTCAACGGAAACCATTGCTGTAACTGAGCAGTGATTATAGAAGATTGTGGAAACGACACATTATTGTTTACAGAATGAAGAAATAGTTGTGTTACTTCACGTACACTACCTAAAGTGTGCTAGTGGAATATCGATTAGTAAAGATAATGAGCACCCTACAAACGAGAAGGATACTGATAACACACAATTGTTTACAGAATGAAGAAATATCTGTGTTATTTGAGGTCAACATCACGAGATGTTTATCTTGTGAATATTTATCACTCTTTCTAATCATTTACTTTAGAAATAATTTAACTATCACATTAGTGAACACATTAATTTTATTCCAAACAGTAATTTCAGTACAAATATATTCAATTTTCTGCATGGTCAGTTCAGAGAACCAAAAGAAGCGTTAGGACTTCAGATATTTTTCACGACGTACTCTCGATTCAACCACCTTCGATGTCTTTCTTTATGGATATACGTAACTATTCACCCTTACACTCTGGAGGGTTATCTTCAACCATGGTAACATCAATTAATGGTCTCGTTATGCTAACTTCCATATTGTTGACATATATTCGACTCTAATTTATTGATTTTCGTGTTACTAGCTTCTCTCTGGCTTCTCTGCTCCTCTCTGAGTCGTTAGTTCTCTTGAGTTTCACTCTTGTTTCCTGTAAATGCAGTTTATATACTGACTTCATGTTGACGTTTTCCAACACGTACCACGTAGGATATTGAGGGAATTTCTTCTTCGTGTGTCGTTTTGTGCTTGAGCTGTGGCTGACATCAGTTGTCGTTTGGATTTGAACAGGAATATATAATGTGTGTAGTTTACTTATCATTCATAAGTTTATTCGTCCTAGAGATTTTGAATTTCTTAGATTTGCGTCGGTCCCACAGCGGTTATGATGCAAACCAACCACGGTTCGGTTCCCGGTCGACGCACACCTGATAACAGTGATCGGCCCGCTCAATTTGGGCTACCGATATCACATGCCGAAAATTCCATACTTGTACCCAAATACTGAGTTGTGTCAAGCTATAATAAATATAATAGTAAATATATAACTGTCATCGCTGAAATTTTCATAGTCTTTCAACATCCTGCTCTTGATTAAGTTTTCAAAGGAAACTCAGTGTACTTATATGTAGATTATCAAATATTCAGTTTGCTCCATATCTGAGAAGATGTGATCAAGTGGAAAATTTGATTGGCGGCGATTTTACTGCGTCCTGGGTATTAACATGTACAATCTGATTGTCGACGGCGAATACCAAGGCAGCAGGTTATCCGATTTATTTACTCATAGGAAAACATCCTCACTAGCTCGAATATTTCGCATTTACTTCTCAGATAGTAGAATTCTTATTCAG